CAGTGCACTAAGTGGACTTCGGGCTAATTAAGCTTCCTCCTACTCTTTAGTTCATCCGGTTCGCCCTCCTAACTTTATCCAACAGGCAGAGCTGGTTAGTGATCAATTATACATATATATATATTATTTATTTATTTAATTAATTTATTAATTTATTAATTTATTAATTTATTAATTTATTTACTTAATTTATTTATTTATTTATTTATTTATTTATTTATTTATTTATTTATTTATTTATTTATTTATTTATTTATATAAAGATCAATATGGTGTGGCGTTTGGTATGGTCGCAGTCTCCTTTCGATATACATAAGTGGGTTGACCTCGTTTTAGCAAGTTGGCCGTGTTGTCAGGATGAATGGGTTGGTCGCGCGTGGTCCGAAATCCGACGCTACAGTAGGTCACATAATTTCCAGCGTCGCATCGTCGACTTGATATATTCCCAGGCATTTGGCTGGCATCGTCAGTGAGTTTTGCCATTCATTCTCAGCGTCAGGCTACAACTAGTCAAGGAAACAAGTGAAGTCTTCTGCCAAACGGTCATGCTATCACTCCTCTTTGACGAGTTTTAGCTTGGTGCTGAGAATGGCGAAACGCACTGACGATGCTTACTACGATGCTGGCAAAGCATTTGGAAAAGTAGCAAATCCACGGCCCAAAGCCGGAAATTATAATAACTACTATAGCAGAGAAGTTCGGACAAGATGTGTCCAACTAAGTCGTTATGACACACGACCATATATATATATATATAATGCAACTTTGGGTGGTCAGAATTCTCATTCACTTACACTTCCATTCTACTTCATTCATCCATGCTTCCTTCATGCTGGAAAAATAAGCCAATTCAACGTGTCTTTCAAATAAATACGATTTTTTACGAGATTAAATGGACTGGTAGTAAGTCTGTTTAAAGCGAAGGCATGCATGCTGCAGTGAGTTTGACTGTCCCTCGTATCTTCAAAGATTGTTCTCATTCGGGCCAGAATGCGTTTTAGACCTTGGCTAATCATGTCATCATCAGCTTCAGATATGCACAAATCAGATTCTACAAATACACACAAGGGGTCCCTAGCTGCTTCACCGGGCTCAAAACAATATATATAAAAATATCTACATTATTCCGATTCCAAGCAAGAGTACCCTATTATCGTTTCGGGTGAGATTTGGTATAGACACCAGACAACTTGGAGGTCTGTGTATAGCCTTAAAGTTGGCCTCTTACGAAGTGAAGCCGATTCTGGCTGCTGTCTCAGGGAAAGTGCAATTTGAAGCTCGCCAATTTGGACAGATACGCGCATGACAAGTGCCCCCTCACAACAAATTGCTAACTCCAAACGTGTTGCCAAATGAGATGCAGGCGCCTCGCCATCGTCCTACAACTGCACCAGCGCCCAGCTTCGTCGACATGCTGACCGGCCTGGAAGGAGGAGACAAGTTGAAGCTGGAGAGTGAACGCAGCCACGACCGTCTCGGCCGCTGAGACGATTGGACGTGTCCATTCTGCATAATTAGGGCCTCCTCCAGGCACAGGTGAAGTCGGCTAGCATGTGAATCAACATGCTGGAGGTCAAGTTCTTATTCAACATTATTGGTGGTTGGGGGGGCTTTCATTTCGTATGAAAGTGCATGAAGAAGAGATTCGTTGCTCGATTTCACCAAATGAGGACGGATGAATCTCGTTGTATCGCAGACGTTTGGCTTAGAAACGATGTACATGTTGACGCAGTCCACGAGATTTACTCCCTCGTTTCGCGTGAAAACGAGCTGAGCTTGCGTCCATCAACTGATGGACAGCATCAAAGCTGGGTGCCATTCTTGTAAGAGTCTCGCGTTAACACTAGGCCAATACCACTATCCGACTTTATCATACCTCTTATATAGATTCAATTAAGCTAAAAGAAAATTAAAAACCTATATAGATCGATATAGAATGATTTCTTTAATTATCTTTCATATTGGTACTGTTACTTTTGTTCGAGTGTGTGCGTGTATTTATGTGTGTGTGTGTGTGTGTGGTGGCGTCTCTACGCAATGCCGGTCCTAAATCAGTGTTGCCAAAGGCTAATTAATGTCGTACTATGATCATCAAGGACTAATGACTCAATAGAAAATTATGACCGAGATTGCATAATTCCATGAGCAAGTATGGTTGAGATAATGAGATATGAGCTTGTAAGTCAAGTTATGAAACCACTTTTTCTAACCTCTCAGTCTAGGGTCATAAACGTTTAACTCCCCAAGGAAAGGTAAGACTGGGGCTGCGTAATCTGGCGACTCTAGTTTGTTTGATGAGTTTACTCTAACATGTAGGACGAGTGTGAGTGAAGTTAGAGCCATCGTCGAGCAGACAAATTGAGTCGTGTTCCTTTTGACGGCTGCTCAACACCCTTTCTCTCTTTCAATCTATCAATCAAACATAAGTAGTTCCTAATCAACTTTCTATCACCGTTCCTTACATTCCACGTATTTTCTAAGCTATTACTTTCAATAGCCTTACTTAGCTTTCTTTTAACCACAGACGTACCATAATCAGAAAATCTACTAGTTTGAGACCATTTATTTCATGTCCAGTTTCCACCATTTGTTCGGCATCGTCTGACTATTGGATCCAGATACCTTTGCAAGTATTTTTTTGTCCTACGCATCTTTGTCGAATAGGTCAGCATGTCTCACCAACAAAACATCGACCCTTTTTTAGCCGCCGGATCTTGATAATGTGGCATATTTCTCTTTAAAAGATGGCATAACAGAAGAAAGTGTGAGGGTTTCATTGAGCACTACTTTTATGTTATGTTATGTTGGTGAAACATGCCGACCTATTCGACAAAGATTGGTAGAACACAAAACTGCTTGTAAAGGAAGCTGGGTGCAACGGTCAGAAGATGCCGAACACATGGTGGAAACTGGACATGAAATAGAATGGTCTCAAACTAGTATGTTTGCTCGTTGTGGTACGTCTGTGGTTAAAAGAAAGATAAAAGAGGCTATTGAAATGAATAGCTTAGGAAATACGTGTTGAGCCACCGTCAAGAAGAAGGCGACTCAATTTGTATGCTCAGTGATGGTTCTAACTTCACTCACACTCGTCCTACATGTTAGAGTAAACTCATCAAACAAACTAGAGTTGCCATATTACGCAACGCCAGTCTTACCTTTCCTTTGGGGTTAAACTTTAATGACCCTAGACTGACAAGTGGTTTCGTAACTTGACTTACAAGCTCATATCTCATTATCTCAACCATACTTGCTTACTGGCTTACATTCCCGGTCAGGGCTTTCTCTTGGATCATTAAGCCTTGATGATCAAAGCCTGATATTAGCCTCTTAATCATTCTGATTTACGACCGGTATTGCGCATAGACGCTAATAGACATACACACACGCACATACTCGATCAAAAGTAGCAGGAGCAGTATGATTGATAATTAGCCAAACCGCTCTATATTTATCTATTAAGGTTTTTTATTTTATTTTGCTTAA